ATTATGTAAAAAAAAAAAAGGAATTGCCATTAAATGTCATTTTATTTAGTTTAAGAACAAAAAATTAAAGTTTCTTTTTATTTATAAAAAAAAATTAACCCACTGAGACTATATTGTTCTTTATTCTTTTTCTTTTCTATTCTATTTGCTTGTTTTCTTTTTATTTGTTATGAAAAAATGACCCTCTAACACTAGCATTTTCTATTCTTTTTCTATTCGATCTACTTGTTTTCTTTATTCATTATAAAAAAATAAAAATTAAAAAACCTTGCTGTGTGTACTGCGCTACTAGGACTTGTCACAGATAATACATAATATTGTTCTTTTGTTGGTTTGATTGCTTCTATTGTCCTCATTTGTAAGTCGCTTTGGATAAACACATCTGATAAATGACTAAATGTAAATGTACTTTGCACCAACAACATTTCAAGTGACACATGGGTTAGTTTAGGTTTGTTGCCACAAGGGCTTTAATTCAGTAACTGTATGTGGACGATGCTTTTTTATGTTTTTCCTTTTCCCCCCAAATTACCCCACCCTAAGAAAGTAAAAAATGTGACAACTAGCCCCAGTCTTATGAGAAATGTGAAAATCTAGTCCCAGGCTGATTTTGTCTGATTTCTAGTAACTTGTGGCACACTTTATGCTTAAAAAAAACATCCCTTGGCACAACATTACAGCCCATCAACCTCCATTATTCCCATAGTGCCTTGCATTTGTGTTTAATTTTAAAGAAAAATAAATAAATAAATAAAGCAGTAAATAGTTAATGACTTTTTGCTCTCCCAGATGATTTTCTCTTATTTGTGACCACAGATGCATTTTTGCTTTCTTTGTTCGTGTCAGTCTTGCTCTTTTCCCCAGACAGGCTAATAGAGGTTTCTAGAGTGTGTGGGTGTCAGAGCTACTGGTGTGTTGATGATTTCAGAAACACACAGCAGCAGCAGGAGACACACAGGTGCTGCACCAGAGCACAGGTTCTGTCTCACTGGCCCGTTTAGACATCATGAGCGCTGGGACAGGACGCTCTCACGGCTGTCCTTCCCATCAACTCACTTCACACTCCTTTGAACAGGTAGAGCATTTAGTTTCCCAGTTAATCCATCCAATAACAAAGGCATGTCAAGTAAATATCATCAGTGTATTTTGACTCAAGAGGCTCCCCATATATATATATATATATATATATGGCAGACCATATATCAGACAGATGAGAAATATGATTTTAGTTTACTTCTTGATTGTATATTTTTTAGCATTTTAATTTAGATTTTTGTTTTATTATATTACTATTAATGATATTAATAATATATTAATTTAGATAATTATAAGTCATCCTGAAGGCCTTTGGAAGTTTGTTGAGGTCCCTAGAGGGCCCCGTTCTGGTTGTGTACTACTGTTTTAATATTATTATCATTATTATTATTAATGATATTTAATTGTGTATGCACAATCTATATATTTATCTTAATTTTTCATCTTTAATTTACGCTGTTAAATGTAATTGATTTTAGTGTTTAGTGTTTTATTTTAAACTTAGTTAGACAAGATGGTATAGCATTTTAATATAGTTTTTTAATCTATTATGCATCCCTATATTTTATCAACCATGTTATTTATGGTCTTTTATACCAAAAACAGTTGTAATTTAGTGTATCATGTCTATTTTCAACCTTCTGTCTGACTTGCAGAATTAAGCAGGCTATATAATTTAATCTATTATGTTTGACTAACTATCTATCAATCAGTGTTGTTCAGCCTGTTGCGAAGCAATAGTGATGATAAGTAATGGGTGGTCATAACTTAATGTATCATCAGTTTCTCAATGATCCAATAACAATTGGTTGTTCTTATTCTACAATTTTATTATACAAAACAAATGTCACAAATATGTACAAAAGTTAAAAGGTACATCTTTGTATTATTTACCCCTAAATAATACATATTCGTCAAATAGACATTACATACATATAATTACATATATAATAAAAGTACATTAGTACCCATAGTATACAGTGACAGTTTTGTACCATTTTTTCTGAGTGTATACTGTAAAATGATATGCTCTTATTGCAGGAAAATCCAGATTTCCATGATTTGTCACCTCATAAGTGATCAGGGGCCCTTCCTGAGCCTCTGATCACCTCACCATGGACCCTCACCTCCAGATGGGCTAAAATATTAGGTCTCACTCAGAACCACAATTCCCACCCACAGCATCACTGCCTCTTCAAACAATCACCTCACATGGTTTTACTTTCAGCCGTGCTATGGCTTTATGATAGGGAAAATAATAATAATATCCCGAGACCGCACTGTAAAATGGAAAGGACTGGCTCTCTCACTGGTCAGAGCCTTTAGTGTGTTTAATCCATGTGCGTTTGAAGGGAATGGTTTGGCATGAAATAAGAAGGCGAACTATTTTTGACTAGTCTATTTATCTTATAATTAGATAACAAACTTATTTTTGAATGTTTCTATATCTGTTTGATCAAAAAGCAATGCAAATTCAGTATGAGAAATCGTTTCTGGTTTTTTTTGTATTATTCTGTATTTCTCTATTTTTTAGGAGATGGATGGAGAAAGAGGTGAGAGGTTTGTCAGACCATGACTCGGTGTGCATGAACGGACAGGACTGTGTTTTTGTAGGCCGCTGATATAGCCATCTGCTTCCAATGTAGAGAAGAGCAGAGGGAGCCATCCAT